CAATGATACGTTGAACCACAGCCTGCTTCAATGTGGAAAAATTAGGCCTATTTGGAACCTGTATGCATACTATACAGATGGGCCAAGGTTGAGAGAAGGGATAACGTTAAGACAATACCTTTTCCAATGGTGGATCTCCTCCTCGAAGAACAACTTGAAAGGGATTCTACGAGCTTGCTTGCCAGGATTCCTCTTATGGGCAATATGGAAATCCTACTCTGCACACATGTTTGGCAGCGAAGCGATCAATCTTATGCGCATCCATCATAACATTGTTTTTATGACTCAAACTTGGGCAAGCCTGCACTCTAGAAGACCTTGGATGATGAAGGCAAATGGTCTGGAGGATATTGGACTCAGTGGATGCTGGAACAGAGGGGTCATCATGCACTAACCCTCTACTTTCTTTTCATTGTATTTCTTTTGTTTTGTTCCATACCTTCGGGGATTTGGTTTGGTCCTCTCCGAACGTGTTCTTCACCCGTTTTCAATAAAATTTGATTTAAAAAACAATTTTATATATATATATATATATATATATATATATATATATATATATATATATAAAGGATAACTCCTAAATAATTAATTCCTATAATTAAGTTATTATTTCTTGCATAATATTGTGTGTAACCCCCATGTAGATATGTAACTCCCCATCATTATTAGCTAGACATTATGGAGTATTTAATTTATTTAATTCCTTCCTTGTAATCATTTTCTTATATATATGTAACTCTTGTAATCAAAGTTATTCAAGAAGAATAATACACAATTATTATTTCTCATATGGTATAAGAGCTCTAAGGATTTTTTTTCCCTTATCGATCCTTCGCTCTTCTCCGACGTTCACTCTCACAGTCGGCTCCTTCATTTGTCTATCGCCTATCATGGCCTACACCATTACCAAGGATACTCCGGTTATTCAACTTCATGCCAAAACTCACTTTCCCATCAAATTGGTGACCACAAACTTTCCAATATGGCAGCGTCAAGTCCGCTCCACACTCATTGGCCTTGGCCTCCTTGGCTATGTCGATGGGACACTCCCATCCCCACCTCAGGTTGTCGATGGTGCGGCAAACCCATGCAACATCATTTGGTTTTGCCAAGATCAAGCAATTGTTGGTGCTTTGCTAGGAAGTTGCACCGACATTATTCAACCTCTAATCTCAAATGTCTCCACTGCTCGTGATGCATGGCTCAATCTCCACTCTAGTTTTACAAGCGCGAGTCGCGACCATGTTCTTGCACTCAAGTCTAAACTTGGCAAGAATCCACGTGGAAATCGTTCAATCAATGACTATCTCCATGAAATGCATTCCATTGCAAACGAACTCGCTCTTAATCAGAGCCCCATTGCAGAAGAAGATTTGGTTGTTCATGTTCTCAATCAACTCGGCACTGAATATGATCCTATAGCCTCCGCCGCGTACATTCGTGGCTCCACCCTTCCATTTATCGAGCTGGGCGACATTTTACAAGATTTTGAGCGGAAACTGAAACTCATGGATGAGGCAACCTCATCTATTGTGGCAACTGCTCATGCGGCTCAATGCCATCATTCCCATGGCTCTAGAACTTATGGTGGACCGGTGGCCAGGTCATCGTCTCATTCTTCTCGCCCCTCTGCCAACCAGCGGCCCCAGCACGGTGCTTCTAAGTCATTTCATCGTCATGATGGGATGTATCCTCGTGTCAGTTTTGCTCAATTCCTGGTCATGACATCAAAGTGTGTCGCAAACTAGCTCGTCTCCTTAGGGACAACGGGATGCAAACCGTGTCGACACCGGCGTACGGTGTCTCGCCTCCAGTAGCACATGCTACTACTGCTCATTAGGATGGGATAAATCATTGGATGTTTGACAGTGGCGCGAGTCATCACACAACTCCGTCTCCTCAGCATCTCCAGTCGTTCTCTGACTATGGTGGTCCGGATGAGATACGTCTGGGTAATTGTAAGGGTCTTCCTATTTCACACATTGGTACCACTTCCCTTCCTACATCTTCTGGATCCCTTTCTCTTACTAATGTTCTGTGTGTTCCTCAATTAACTAAAAATCTTGTGTTTGTGTCTAAACTATGTCAGACTAATCATGTTTCTGTTGAATTTTTTCCTATGTCCTTTGTTGTCAAGGATCTGAAAATGGGGGCGCCTCTGCTTCACGGTAAAAATCATGGCAGTGTTTATTATCCTGTTCCAGTATCTCCCCAAGTGAATCACACAGCCTTGTCTGAACTGCATCACTCCCTTGGGCATCCCTCAAATAAAGTCCTCTCTCATATCTTGAGTCAATGTAATAAAAAGGTCTCAAGAACTCATTTTGAGACTTTTTATTGTTCTGCTTGTTTAATAAACAAAAGTCATAAATTACCTTTTTCAGATAACTCCCTTATTAGTAATTCACCACTATAACTGGTCTATTCTGATGTATGGTCATGTAATGATGTTTCCATTCATGGCTACAAATAAAGAGGTGCCAAATGCTTCCTAAAACCAATTGGTGATAGGGAGGTGGACACTTTATATTTAACCACATCTCTCTGTAGCCCCAAGCCGAGGTAGATTCCTATAGGGCACCCCCTATAGTTCACTACGGCAGAGCAGAGCCCCACTACTGAGCGGTGGATGGACAGGAGGGGCTTCGCAAGATACACGACTCGTGTACCTCGTCAGGTTGGGCTGTCAGTACCCGATACCGTGACTAGCACAGTAGCGAATCCCTAAGGGTGATCGATGGTCCCCCATAAGACCAACATATTGATCATTTTACTAAATATGTGTGGCTTTACCCAATGTGTCATAAATCTGATGTGTCAAAATTTTTCCCCATTTACAAAAAAATGGTGGAAAAATATTTCAACAAGCAACTCATATCTCTCTATTCTGACAATGGTGGTGAATACATTAAACTTCGTCCATTTCTTACGTCTCAGGGTGTGTCTCACTTTACTACTCCCCCTCATACTCCTAAGCATAACAGCACATCTGAACGGCGCCATCGCCATGTAGTTGAAACAGGCCTTGCCTTACTCCATCATGCATCTATGCCTCTTGAATATTGGCCATATGCGTTTCAAACTGCAGTTTACCTCATTAATCGCATGCCCACTCTTCTACTACATAATTTGAGTCCCTACCATCTCTTTTTTCATAATAACCCAAATTACCTAAAACTTCAACCTTTTGGGTGTCTATGTTATCCGTGGCTCCGTCCGTATAACACATCCAAATTACACCCAAAGTCTATTCCATGTGTCTTTGTTGGTTACTCCACTACTCAGTCAGCCTATTTCTGTCTTAATACTCAAACAAATCGTCTATATGTTTCACCTCATGTAAAGTTTGTTCCAAATGATTATCCTTTTTCCTTCAAGTCTATGACTCCTCCTCCACCTTCTTGTCCGAAACTTCCCACTGTCCGTCGTCCATCAGTGCCGACCTTCGCACCTGCTTCTGGTGTGACCTCTTGGCAGTCTTCTCCAGCAAGTCATCCCTCTTCCTCCGCTCATCCTGCGGTTGTGGTTGACACACCCGAACCATTACCAACTCCCCTATAGTCTCCCTCCTCTACCACAGATAAGTCACCCGCCACATCTCCGGTCGTCCGTCCCCCCCTCATTGATCCTCGTCCGGTTCGTCATCATCGTCAAAACCCCCGCAACTTTAATCCTGACTTTGTCACAGGATCTCCTCAGATTAATGTCACCTCTCGCCATCCCCTTCCTGACTCCCTTGAACCCAAAACCATTGCTCATGCTCTCAAGGATCCTCGTTGGCATACGGCAATGGATGCTGAGTATCAGGCACTGGTGAAAAATAAGACTTGGGAATTGGTACCTCGTGGGACGCAGCGTCCGATTGGGTGCAAATGGGTATTTCGTATCAAGCGCCTCCCAAATGGTTCAATTGACCGGTTCAAAGCATGGCTTGTTTCCAAGGGTTACTTACAAGAGCCTGGCCGTGATTATTTTGAGACATTTAGTCCGGTTATGAAACCTGTTACGATTCGCCTTGTTCTCAGTATCGCTCTAGCAAACAATTGACCTTTGCGACAATTGGACATTAATAATGCTTTTCTTAATGGCAAGTTATCTGAACAGGTATTTATGGAGCAACCACCTGGATATGTAAATCCGGATTTTCCCTCACTTGTTTGTCGTTTATCCAGATCTATTTATGGTTTGAAACAAGCTCCTCGGGCGTGGTATGATTCCCTCTCTACCTTTTTACTTGGCACAGGTTTCTATAAGTCGCGAGCTTACTCCTCTTTGTTTGTGTATGCTAACAATGGAGTGTTGGCCTATTTTTTGGTCTATATGGATGATATCGTGCTTATAGGGAACTCGATATCGTTCCTTGGTTCTTTCGTTGAGACATTGTCGTGCAGGTTTTCTCTAAAGGACTTGGGGCAACTTAGTCATTTTCTTGGTGTTGAGGTGATACCTACTCCAACTGGTATATTTTTATCTCAGGCACAGTATGTCTCTAATATTTTGAATAGCACAGACATGGCAGATGCAAAAGGTAGTTCTACTCCTATTATGACTCGTGTACTGCCCTCTTCTGAGCATGCTCCTCCTACGGATGCCACCTCTTATCGACGCATATTGGGTCGATTGCAGTATCTCTCTCTTATCCGCCCAGATGTCTCCTTCGCAGTCAATCGTCTCTCACAGTATATGCATGCTCCCACAACCTCTCATTAGGAGGCCCTCAAGCGTGTCCTCCGCTATCTCAAATCCACCGTGTTTCATGGGTTATATCTCTCTCGGAAAGTTCCATTGCAACTCTCAGCTTTTTCTGATGCAGACTAGGGGGGTGTCACTGACGGTGGTCGCTCTACGACGGGCTATGTTCTCTATCTTGGTTCTAATATTATTTCTTGGAAATCAACTCATCAGAAAACTGTCTCTCGATCCTCTACTGAGGCCGAATATCGTGCGTTAGCCAATGCTGTTGCGGATCTCGCTTGGGTTCGAAATCTGCTCTGTGAGCTTCACGTGGGTCCACTGCCTTCTCCCCGGCTCTACTATGATAACCTAAGTGCTGTGTATGTTTGCAAAGATCTAGTGTTTCACTCTCGAATGAAGTGTCTTGCTCTTGATTGTTTCTTTGTTCGAGATTTGGTTGCTTCTGGAAAGCTTCATGTTCAACATGTTCCTACGACAGAACAAAATGCAGATATTCTTACGAAACCTCTTGGTCGTGCTCTGTTTCACAAGTTTCCTTCCAAGATTGGTGTCTCTGACGGATCCCCCATCTTGCGGGGGCGTGTAAAGGATAACTCCTAAATAATTAATTCCTATAATTAAGTTATTATTTCTTGCCTAATATTGTGTGTAACCCCCATGTAGATATGTAACTCCCCATCATTATTAGCTAGACATTATGGAGTATTTAATTTATTTAATTCCTTCCTTGTAATCATTTTATTATATATATGTAACTCTTGTAATCAAAGTTATTCAAGAAGAATAATACACAATTATTATTTCTCATTATATATATATATATATATATATATATATATATATATATATATATATTTAAGGAGTAACAAGTTAATAACAGATCAGTGTGCACTTAAACAAAAGAAGGTTTACTTCTGAATGTCGAAAAACTCCCATAAATGAGAGGCAAACGCGCCTCAAATCTGTCTCAGTCAAGATAAACATTGACATCAATGCCACTTTCAATGAGGGACTGAACCACAGCTCTTACTTTACCTTCGAACTTGTCACTATCCCTGGGAGTGTAAGCAGTGGTGTACACATCAGCCTCTCTCGCTCTGTCCGCCAAAATCCGACCAACAGCCAAGCATGCGGGTATGTCACACCTTGATTTCAGCATAGCCTTTATGTCCTTTGAGTTTGTGCCCGCGACTGCAACCTGCATGCAAGTCACTCTGTGTGTGATTGATGCTAGCTGAAACATATCGCGCTGAAATGAAGACGTCAAGCATGAAGGGCTCTATGAAAGGCCCAGTTCTTTGCTTGAAGGAAACATGCTTGTGTGGGTTCTTTGACTTTTTTCCCTTTTGGTACGTGCATGGTCGGCTATTGTCATAATCTGCAAAATCCTCCACTCCAAAAAAACTTTTGGGCGAGTAACGAGTCTAGCCACTGTGAAAGAAAGCGCTCATTTGTGCAAACAAAAAAGGCCTGGTTGTGTTGCCTCTGTGAGCACACAACTCATGAGACACAAGCTTCATCATTGTTCTCAAGGATTGAAACAACCTCTCACTGAGTGATGTGCTAAACGAGTGTCTGAAACTGGGGCGCTGCTTTTTGCCGTTCATCGCTGGGTCAGGTCAAGCCATTGCCGGAATCGGGCACGGAGTGTGGTGGCCAGAACGTCGGAAACTAGAGGATAGTTTCGCTGGTTGTTTGAGTAATTGGGGGGTCCTCGTCGACGTCGTTGGTTCCAACTTCCAAGCGGTGGTCGGCGATTGGCGGAGGTTTGGAGTCGGCCGTCGGCTAGCGGATGGTCCGTCTCAACTTCCGAATTCCGATTTTGCAATATATATATATATGTGTGTGTGTGTATGTGTGTGTGTGTATCCAAATTTGAAGCCATTTAAAAGTATATACCAGGTGGTGTTAAACATCTGATTTTGAAGCCAAAACATACAAAAAGAAAATTATCAAATAATTCATGTAGATTTTAAAATTAATATTCAATTCTCTGGATCTAACTTCGAGACCCTAGGCTCTGTTCGTTCAAAAAATTATTGACGGGTGACGCCAGTTTTGTTAAAATAACTCTCAGGTCCCTCTATTTTCAAGAAGACATCAGAGGTCTTTACATTTTATTCTGGAAAGGGGCATTTTATCCAATATTTCATCTATAAACGTTAATAAATATATTTTTTTCCTATTCTTTTCTAAATGTTTTAAGGTAATAAATCTGAGGTCGCTCCTTTTTTTATTTCTTTGTTTTTATTTCATTTTGTTACTATTTTTTAAAGTGTTATTTTAGAATTTCTTCTATAAAATCGTATAAAATTTCAAAATTGTTTGTATTATATTAAAACAAATGAAATAAAAAAAATTTAAAAAAAAAAAGAAAAAACAAGGTAATGGAAAAATATGAAAAAACGGTATTGGAAAAATAGGAAAAAAATACATTTATTAACAATTACAAATGATGTATTGAATGAAATGTCTCCTCCCAGTCATTACAACAAAATATAAGGACCTCGTTTGTCTTTTTGAAAATAGAGGGACCTGAAAGTTATTTCGATAAAACTCGCGTCACTCGCGAGTAATTTTCTGCCGTTCGTTCAGTCATCTTTTTATTTATTTATTTATTTTAGGAAGGTGTAAATCGCCAATTTGGAGCAGAAGGAAAATAAGAAACGCAATTCTTAGAATACCTGGTCTTTTGGGATCGTAAATTCGGAAAAACAAAATCTGAAATTTGGCTCAGCTCTGTTCCTTTTCCGGCGATTGCTTTGATAAAGGAAGAAGCCTGCGATTGGCAATTGGGTTTAATTTCTTCTCTGCGTCTCCACTCTGTTATGTTATAATCCGGAGAAAAGCTTTGGACTATGGAGATTTGAGGAAACCGTAGCAAGGAGGAGAAGTTTTATCTGGACTGCAATCGGCGATTGCTCCCCTATTTTTTTTTCTCTCATATAGGGAGTCTTTGTTCCCTTTCTTCTTTCGATCGATTGAGGAAGAGGCACAAAAAAAATTAGGTTGTGCTATCGTGCTGAAAATGTGTTGTAAATGAAGTACTTTATTCATCATATGACGGAGTATCTATACATAAACTGGGGGAGGTAAAGTCTAGGTAATCAGGGTACAAGATATTAACAAGTTGTACATTGACAAAACCCAATTCTTTTGAGAGATCAGATTCAATATTACTTCATTAATTATTGAGCCATTACTAGGAAATACAATTACCAACTATACATTGCATGACACATTGCACGGGTAAATTTACTATCAAAAATCAAAATTTACATTGATGATATTTAGTGTACATGAATATTTGATCTTTGACCTCTGGCAATTTAATTTAGGCATGAAGTGAAAGTTAGTCACAAAATTGTTTCTATTATGTTATGAGGTGAGTCAAACGAAGTGCTCGGTTGGATATTCATTTTCATATGCATTGTAATCATAATATAGCCTCTCCCCCTTCCGAATGTCTCTGCTTGCTATCAACAAAACACGACTTTCACCATTTACATTGAATCTCACACATTTTACATTCTGCTTCTTCCTTCCTTCCCTGCATTACAATGTGGTTTTTTTCCCAACAATGTCAGTTCACACCAAACAACCTCAAATGATGTATGGAGAACTACTGAAATCTACAACTACGACAAGAAAACAAGTGCTGCATATTATAGTTTTAAGAACTCACGGGGTATGGTTGTTGATGCCATTGATGAAGCGAGCTATGTTGCTGCGCTTATCAGGGCAAATCACAAGGCATTCTGAAGGATCAGCAGTTGATAAGAGAGTCATCATGCTATCCCCATCATCATTTTCACGGTTCTTCAAGTAATCAACATCCCCAACGTACTCAGTTATTATGGTCAGATCTCTGATGAATCTATCAGCTTCTACAGTAAAGCTGTCAAAATCATCTGAGAAAAATGATTAAAAGATTCTGGGAAGAAAATGCCATTACATAAAGATTGTGGGTGATGGAACAATATGAAGATTCTAACTCTACTCACCCTTCTTTTGGGTCAAAAACCACCATTAGAGGAGGACATTCACCTCCTTCCATCATTTTCTTGCACAGGTTTAAGGTTTCCATGTCTTGTTTGGTCATTACCTGAAATTACATTTCATATAAACTCTTTAGTCATTTAACAAAACTACTAGCATTTCCTTAATAAAAGCTTTTCAGGTAAACCATTTTGATAGTTGATAACAGGGAACATTTAGTAAAGGTGTTAGTTCCCTATTTGCTCTTTGTAGACAGGAATACCTTTGTAATGAACTGATCACTCTTACATATTCTAATATTAACACAGATAATGATTAACGGCAATATGAACAAGCAACACAGTAAGAGTCTAGTTGGAACTTGGAAAATGCTAGGGAAATATAATAGAGGATGAATTTGAGAGGAATAAAAATATGAAGGCAAGAAATATTTGCTTAAACTCATTGTATTAATGTCTTTTTATTGAAAACAAACAAAATATAGCTTTACATTTGTCACTTTTTTTTGTATTATCAGTGTTAGAAGCAATGAGAATAACATTGTTTTCCCCATCTTTGGTCTCTCATTTTCCCTAGCATTTTACAGGATCTAAACATTGTCAATATGCATTCCTTTTTCACAAGAGCATCAAAGAGCATGCTTATTAATATCCAGTGTCTATACCTGCATCCCTTCTCGTTCAAGTGCAGCCCGATTCACACTCCTTGGTGCCATGCCGGGCATATAAGTAAGCTCATTGCTGAACTGAGCCCCAGTGGCTATTAATGCTGTGGCTAATGATGCCATTTGCTCAAGTCTCCTCTTAGGATACTCGGATGGATTAAAATGCAATAACTTTCTCTTTTTCTTTGACACTGCTAGGCTACTAATTCTCCTTCGCCTCTTTTGGCAGACTGAAAAAAAATAAAGCACCAAAATTTGAGCTGACACACCACACTAGAGAACAGATTAGTAATTAGATAAGTATGCCTAACAAGGGCCACAAGCCAGCATTATGCTGCATACCTGCACTCTTATGAGTTGCACCTGACGATCTCTGAATACGGAAGAAATCAATAATCTTTGTCTGGATGAGGGGAAATTCTGCATTTTGAAGAAATGCTTAGTTACTACTTACGAGATGAAGAACCATGGAATTAGTAGAGTGGTACTGGGCTACTAGCTACTACTCCGTAGTAAAATTTGATGACTTTTAACATGTTAAATGGCTTTAAAAAAAAGCATTCCTGCAAAAGGCACAAAATCTCTAAGCAAAAACTAATGCTGTAGAGTATACCTAAAAATTATAGCAAAATGCAGCAATTGAACTTATAAATATCACATAATTGCAAAGAATTGAAACCAGATCTAACATTCAACAGCTCAATCAATATAGAATTAGTGTCAAAATATTCAACAAGGTAGTAAGGGAGCAAGCATTCAATCAATTCATTGAGCAAATTCAGCACCAAAAACTACTCAAAACACAAAAAACAAGCCATTACTATTAACATTAAAAAAAACCAATCAGCGAAAAAAAGAAAACAGAGCGAATTAAAATAACCCTACTGGCGACACTTCTGGATTTGGAGCAAGAAGGGCAGAACCAAGAGCCCTTGGGGACGGCAGCAAGAATGGGACGGAGGCAAAACAGGTGAAACCCTCGATCGCATTTGTCGCAGAGCAAGAGCTCAGATCCACGGCCGCCGGAGCCACATTCCTCGCAGCACACGTCACCAAAATCACCTCCCTCCCATTCTTCTTCTTCTTCTTCCTCTTCGACACTCGATCTGGACCGTTTTATGGGCGACGCGTCCAGGCAAAACGGATTCAAAGCCTGGGTTCTTTTTCTTAGCACCGTAGAAGCCCGTAAGGAAGCCATGGCCAGGGAAATGTGGGGTTTAATTTCTGAAATGGAAGGGCGCCTGCCGCCTGGCTGGTTGGTTGGTGAGGAAGAGCGTGGTATGTGTTACTATGTATAGTGAAAATGAACCCGAAAAGAAACCCCGCGAAGCAAATACTGTTTTTAGCGCGCGATGTCCATTTATTTCGCGGGAACGAGGAATTTGGCCCCAATGGGTCACGTGGCGTGCAATTCGTACCTAGAGAATAGTTGAAATATGCTCGCACGACTCATAAATATTTGCATTATAAAACTATGGGTCATGCTACACTTACACCACAAATTGTATACCATTTGTACACTACAGGTATACACAAACATTTTGATGGTTTAAACCGACACAAGTGTTGGTGCGTTAATAAAAATTTACACAGACACAAAATGTTTGTGCATTAACAAAAATTAGTTTTACACCAACATAAAGTGTTGGTGCAACCTTGCGGGGTACAAAATGGGGTACAAAATATGGGGTACAAGTAGCTTTATCCTAAAACTATATTGTTGTCATTATAGAAAAAGAGAAATAAAGTGCATAATAAAATATAAAGTTGTAAAGAATGAATTACAAATTTTGAAAAACGTCTTTACAACCTCATGTTTTTTGTTAAATGCAACATGTATAGTGCAATGTATTTAAAGAGTAAATTCTATAATTGGTGCTTTATAACAGGGGGTTCCCATATTTACTCCTTAATTATCAAATATTACCCTCGTAGTCCTTTTTTTAAGGGTACCTTTCCAAAAATGGTCCTTTTTTGATCTTCTATCGTGTTGGTGTTAATTTAAAGGCTAAAAGTATAATTTGACATCAATATTATGTCTAGTGACGTGTTCTGATTTTGGTTAAGCGTATAACACAAAAAATAATGACTATGATTGTGGGTTAAGATTCTGACGAAAGACCACATGTGTAGACTATGATGGTCGTAAAAAACGACTGTAATTCACAAATGACGCAAACGGAACAGCTTTTGGAATTGTGTATGACAAAAAAGATATATTATCATTGTGAAATTACTTTTTTAACCCTCAAATTAACACCAACATGATAGAAGATAAAAAAAGACTATTTATGGAAAGATACCCATAAAAAAGGACCACTTCTGATAATAGAGGATTAAATAAGGAAACCCCCTGTTATAAAGGACCAATTATAGAATTTCCGTATTTAAATGTGGGAAGAATTAATTTTTGAATTAACAATATCTTATCTGGTTCATTTTGAAATTATTTGCAATATTTGACGAAAATCTCCACCAAAAAATGATTATTTTTCCTCCAAACATTTGGTGTTCACTCATTGGATTGGAAAACCATAGAATATTGCAGAAACTTTTATCCAAAGCTTCAAAGAAACTCCTATGTTCCATTGGTGCTTCGTGCAAAACTATTAACTTTGTCTTCAGTAAGAGTTGTGTTAGTGGAGTTCCTTACTTTATGTTGCAAGTTGAGTTTTTCATCTGGGTTCAACGGAATTTTAAAAGGTGAATGAGTTATTCTTCCACCTGGAAAAAGTAATGATGTTATTCTACTTGATAGGACATTAAGTACTATATCGCCTCTAAACCGTATTGTACCTAATAAAGTTCTCCCGAAATATGTCTTGTTAGTTCATTCATACTCATACAAGAAGAAAACTTTACCTCTATTTGTATTGACAAAATGTATTTTAGCTTCATACGTTGCATGTTCTTCGTCATTTAACATACCCTAAAGGGTGACATGCTCACTTGCCAAGGTTACACGATCTTTATTGTGTGTGTGTGTATACATACATACATACATACATACATACATACATACATATGAATATGGAGCGTTAGATGAAGTAATTTTATAAGAATGAATATGGAGCGTTAGATGAAGTAATTTTATATTAATATAGTCGTGGGCTTTTTAGGTATTCTAATGTTAGGCGTGTCTTTTTTCTCAAATGCTCTCAGTAATTCCACAATTTTAGGCATGATTGTTGTAATTAGTTCAATCCCATTAATTAACTCATGAATTACTTAACCCATATGCGTGCATTTAAAAAAACCCAATAATTTTTCTATTTTATACTTAATTGCTTTAAACAAAATCAATCAGTTTTTTATCTCTTTGAAATACACTTACCCTGTTTGCTTTTTCCTTTGTAAAAAAAGTTACGATTTAATTTTTTTGGGTCAAAATGGAAAAATTTTAGCAACCAATTTTTAAAAGGTGTATTCAATAATTTTGGACACAACAGCCCTATCCAGTTTTACAAAGTAAAATGGTTTGTTTTTTATTTTTTATTTTTTCCTGTGTGTATTAGATTTTCTTTGCTTTCTTCAAATTTCTTGTGGTAGTAATTGTAAGACCAAACTGATTGAGATAGAATTTACAAAAAAATGAAACTGATTTAGGTTCTTATTCAATGCGTTCAATGTTCACGTGCATTAAAAATAAAATAATGAACAAAGCCTACATGGGGATGCATATTATACACTTTAGTTATGCCTCATAAAGAATTTAAGGTGCATCATAACATATTTTCTATTGTTAGTACTAAATTTCAATAAGCAAAGAATTTTATATTGTTACTTTAGTTATGCATCATAATGAATTTAAGGTGCATCATACGTTATTTTTCATTTTAAAGGTAAAAGTAATGCATTCCATTAGTGTGCATTCTTTGAGAAAAGTAAAATTCATCTATCACATGGTAAAACTCTTAACACAAATGATGCAATTGTATGATGCATTTGTATATTCTTATCAGTGAACTTTTTTCTAACAATATGATGAAATTTTCTCAACACAAATGATGATGCATATATATGTTCTAGCTAGTCAATTTTTTCAAACAATAATGCATTAAAAATATTCTATGATACATTAAAATATGGTTATAAACTCTTTGAATGATTTTAAAATATGAACATACATATTTAATGAGTCAAGTGCAAGATGAGACTATCTTTGAACAAAATGATTCGTTATTAAATAGTTAAAACGGTGGAGCGATATGTGTCACAGTTTTGCACTTGAATCTTTCATAGGAAAATTATTTCTCAAATCTAAATTACACGTGCATGCTCTGAATACAATGCATTCTTATCACATTCAAAGTCACTCTAAAGCCGTTATTTACTAATCCACAAATTATTAGAATAAAAATTAAATAAAATTTAAGCGACAATTGATAGTGCATATATCGGCCCTCATGGAGCATTTGTGCATAAAATCATACTTGATACTATTTTTATGGTTAAATAATAGAGAAAAAAGTATCTATAAATTTGACTATAAAATATAAAAAATATTAAAAATTTATATTGAATATTAGTATCATCGTCTTACGAGGTATTATCAACGATATATTATTTTAAAAAAGAATTGTATACAAAAAATTATTTAAAAAATATTCAAAGCAATAGAGTAATTAAATAAAGTTAAATTAATATTATATTATTCAAATATAGTAATATTTCTAAATTGAATAAGGAGTGACTCGTGGGAAGTTTTGAACTAAAGAGAATATATAAGTGCTGAGATAATTGCCACATTAATGCATCACAATTTTACCAAATTGCCCATAGATATTAATTACTCCCAATTTTAGTGCATCCGTTTACTCCTTTCCATAAATAAGATGAGAATTAATTTTGGAGGCTTTCAAAATGTTAACCGTCGGATGCACTAGATCTAATGATCAAGATTTATTCTTATTTCTTTCATCATGAGTCATTCTGACATGAGACTCTCTCGAGCTACACTACTATCTCGTTAAGCTTAACGGTGCTTAACAAACCCGTACAACTTGAGAATTCGAGTCACACGAACCTCAACGAACCTTCGAAGGAAACAACCCTTCCTTCGAACAACAAGAGAAATATTTTCTCTTGTCAAGTGTCTAAGAACACTAAAAACACTCAAGAACAATACTCTCTTTTTAGAGTGGATAATGAGTAACTAAGAACGCTCAAGAACACAACACAAGCTTCACAAAAATTGGCTCTCAAAAAGCTATGAATAATTGATGAATGATTTGCAATGAAAGAGTAGAGATTGTGAAGTAATGTGATATGTAAAACAGACCCAAACACCCCATTTTATAGTGGAAAAAATAGGCTCCAACGGATCAAAACATTTTAGGGGTGATTGGCATAATTTGTGGGATTTGATTAAATTTGGATCTGTTGAAAATCACCGAGACAGTGCTGTCCTAAGCTTGGACATCACTGTTCTAGGCTTGGGTTTTAAAAGATAGGAAACAACGGTCATGCCAACAGCGATGTCCAAAAACCCCTTCATCGCTGTTTTGGCTGTTGACTTCCAAACAAGAAAAGTTTTAGCCTTAAATTCCCTCCAACGGTCAGGTCCCTACATCGATGTTCATTACTTGAACATCGCTGTTTAGGTCCTTTGAAGGTGGAAAGTATGGCTTGACAGCGTTGCTGGGACAACATCGCTGTCCAAAAACTTTCTGCCACAAGCAATTCTTTTTGGCTTAAGTTGGACAGCGATGTAGGGAAGTCTACATTGATGTTCCAGATGTTTCTAGAAACCCAACTTTGGCTCAACAGCGATGTCTAAAAACCAACATCGCTGTTGGAGGACTTAACGCCAAACCATGGTTTTCAGCTACCCAAGCCAGACAGCACTGTTGGTTGCACCAACATCCCTTTTGGGCTGGTTTGGCCAGACCCATGGTTGGTTTAGTCAGCCGTTAGCCGATGTCAAAAAAGTAAGTTCTCCAAAATGAAAAACAAGTATTGAAAATGTTTGTTTAAAACATTTTGCTAAGAAATCAAGTAAAACATTTTAAAAACCACATCATTTAATCGAAAACCACGGCTAGCCAAGCTTACGCCGTTTTGCATGGTTTTCATTAAACGACCAAAAACGAAAGATGGTTTTTGACGCGTTTTTGTTGGAGAACTATTTAAATATGCCCAGAATTAAAAATCAATCATAAAAGTTGAAAACCACTTGGTTGATTCGGATGCCAAAAACCAAGGCCGATAACCGAAAGCCGAACACCGGTTTCTGAAGACCGAACGTCGGATGGCTTGGTTTTTGGTTTGGGCGAACTCCAAGTGTTTTTAGGCGTGTTTAACCTTAAGAAAAACATTTTTGAAT